GATGCATCAGGAGTGGAGCAGGAAGGGATAACGAAGGACACGGGAGTGGAGAGAGACGCACACTCGCGAGAGGCAGGTACGCAGGCAGAGGAGCGAAGGCAACAGCAGCAGTTGGAGCAGGGATCAGATGAGAGGTCGGAGCAGCAGGCGAATGCGTGCACGTCCACGGGTAAGTCGGAGCCAGTGCAGCTTCGGAGTGCGTCCATCCTACACGGCCGGCAGCAGCACACACACCACTCCCCCCTCCTCCCACTCTCATCTCACTCCCCTCCCTCCCCCCCGTCACCCCACTCGCCTCTGCACCCTCGCTCTCTCCAACTGCGCCTGGTGGGTGGTGAGACAAAGCCACAGGTGCAGCCAGCACTGCTGCTGCAGCAGCAGTGGCAGCAGCAGCAGCACTGCGGTGCAGGTGCTGCTACCACGTGGCGTGCAGCAGGCGACGGCGGTGATTACATCTCCATGGATGCGCACGAGTCACATGGGGCGCTATCCGCTCCGCGTGCTCCGGGCTCAGGGGGGTCGTTCGCTTACAGCGTGGCGCAGCGGCGGGAGGACGTGCAGCGCATGCAGCGCGCGGTGCTGGAGGAGCTCGAGGAGGAGTGGCAGGCGGAGAAGCAGAGGGATCGCGAGAGGGGGAGGGAGAGGGAGAGGGAGAGGGAGAGCGAGAGGGAGGACGGCAGCACACAGCAGAACCGAAACCTCCACAACCAGCAGCAGCAGCGGCAGCACCAGCAGGCGCAGCATTGCGATGGTTTAGGTGCAGCATGCCAGGTGTGCGCCCGTGGTGCCTGTGACTGCTGCCCCCCTCTCCCGCACTCCACTTGCCCCTCCTCCTTCACCGCCCCCTGCCCCCACCACCACGCACCACCGTCGCTCTCACATGCCCCTAGCAGCACGCCCCTACATGCGCCCCACCCGCACCTGCCCTGCCCGCACTGCCTCCCCCTTGCGCACACCCAAAGCCATCCACACGCCAATCCTTATTCTCGAGGTTCTGCCCACCATGCACCCTGTGATGCTGCTGCTGCGGGCGCCCAGCGCTACAACGTGGATTATGGTGAGCACTGTAGTGTGCCTTGCGCCCTCCCCGTTCCCTCTCCCTCGCCTCGCTCCAATCCACCGCAACCACCCTGCTCTTGCTCCGCTGCCGCTGCTGCCGCTGCTTCCTCCACCTTCCCACATTCGCTCCCCGCCCCTCTGCCTGCACTCTCTCCTCCGCCTGCCCACCCCTCCTGCTGCCCGCACCACAGTAATATCCCTCGTGGTCATTATCACCACCATCAGCAGCAGCAGCCACAGCAGCCACAGCAGCCACAGCAGCAGCAGCAGCAGCACACGCACTCCCATTCATCCACCCACTCCTGCCGCCAGCTCTCCAACCCCCCAGACGTCCCCTTCCCCTCACCATCTCCCCCACACTCGCTCCCCAAACCTCCCCCCCCACAATCCCCACCAGCCATCCTCCCTGTCTCCCACGCTGCCCCACGCCGCTCCTCCCATGCAGCGCACCCCCCTCCGCCTCTTCCCCCTCGCATCCCTTCCTTTCCCCCGCATCCCTCCCACACTGCCGCTGCTGCTGCGTCTGCCTCTGCCGCGCGGCGCCTGTCCAAGGCGTCCAGTGCTCCCCAGCGGTCCCGGGTGTGGGATAGCGTTCCCAGGAGCCCCTTTGGGGACAGGATGGGGCTGCGGGGAGGGTATTCCGTGTGGGAGGGCGAGGAGGGGGAGGAAGGCGATGGAGAGGATGCGGAAGAGGAGGAGTTCTGGGAAGAGGAAAGGGTGGGGGAGGGAGGAGGGGACGATTGGAAGGAGGCGGGTGGGGAGGATAGTGCTGGACGAGGAGGAGGAGGAGGGGGAGGAGGATGGGGAGGGAACGAGTTGCGTGGAGAAGGCGAGGAGGAAGAGGAGTCCCTGCGTCTGTTGGCGAAAGGCGAGCTGCCGTGGGCTCACAGCCCTGTGGCGTTTGCTGCCGCTGCCTCCCACCGCGCTGCTGCCCTCACACGCTCCGTCTCGTCCTCGCCATCCCTCGCTCTCTCCACTGGACTCGCCTCTGCACCTTCTGCACGAGTGGATCACGTGCAGCAGCAGCCATTGCACCACGCCGTTTCCCTATCTCCCCGCCTGCCCACCCATAGCATCTCAGCAGCAGGTGGAGCAGCAGGGGTACCTTCTTTGCAGAAGCAGCAGCAGCACCACCACCACCACCATCACCACCACGACCAGCAGCAGCAGCAGCAGCAGCAGCATCAGCAGCTTTTCCCTCCCGCAGGGGCTCTCCCCCCCCTTCGCCGGGCATGGACGGATAACAACAACCCTACCACGCCCGATAGTGAGACCGACCCAGCAGGTAGTATCTTCGGGCTGCCTGGACGCAGTGGCGTGCGCACGTGGCAGGAAGGGATGGTGGAGGAGGAGGAGGAGCTGCAGGACGAGGAGGAGGATTTTGTTGAGACGAATGGGTGGGAGGACGAGGGGGGCGAGGGGGGTGTGGGGAATGGGGGGGATGAGTGGGAGGTGGCGCTGCACGGTCATGGAGCAGACAGGGCGAGGGGCCATAGGGGGAGGAGGGAGGGTGGGAAGGGAAGCATGGGCATGGGGAGGGGAGCGGGCAGTGGTATGGTGGGTGCTGCTAGGGGAATTGGCAGTGGGCGTGTGCGTGACGTGCAGCAGCAACAATATCAGCAGCAGCAGCGGTACCAGCAGCAGCAGCAGCGCCTTGAAAGGGAGGCGCCGTTCCGAAAGGCAAGGAGTGTGCCGAAGCGGCTGCTGAACCAGGTGTCTCTGGCAGGGGCGGGGGCAGGGGGGTCGCCACAGCACGGCATGCCAGGCATGGGATCGGCCATGGCGGGTGGCAGCACAGGTGCCACTGCAGCGGTGGGGGCGGGCATGGGAGGGCCGTGTCGCACTCTCTCCTGGGGCGTGGACGTGCAGTCGCGGCAGCGCGGCACTGGCAGCACTGCGCCCTACCTGCCTTCTGCAGCGCCGTCCCCATGCTCCCACACACTGCACCCCCACCTGGCACCGCATGACTCTGCGTGCTCGTACCCCTCACACACACTCCAACCCGCTCCTCCCAGCAGGCCTAAACCCGTGCTCCCTTACTCCACGCACTCCCTTCCCTCCCCGTCCCAGTCCCCACGCTCCTCCCACTCGCTCTCCCCCCACTCCTCCATGCCTCTGCCCTACCACCAGCTCCCCTCCCCGCGCGCCGCCCATCCCAGTGGCTTCTTCCCGCGCCGCACGCGCACGCTCTCGGGCCTCCCGGACACCGTCCCAGAGCAACACACTGCCTCCACGCTCCCCCCCCTCGCCAACCCCGCCTCCTCTTTCTCTCCCCACTCGCTTTCCCACTCTTACTCTCACTCCCATTCTCACTCTCACTCCCACTCTCACTCCTCGTCGCCCTCTCTCCCCTCACCCCGCTCCTTCACCTCCAACCAGCTGCAGCGGCCCCACTTCCCTCCCTCCTCCTCCCTCCCAGCCGCTACCCAAGCAGGCGTGTTCTCCCCCCCTGTACTTTTCCCCCCGTCCTCCTCTCTCCCCGGCCCTCAGCCATCTCCCAAGCCCTCTGTGCTGCGACAGGGGGGGTTCCCCCTCGTTTCCCCTAGAGCGACTCTTGGTTTCAACCCCGCCTCTGCTGCTGCTGCTGCTCCTACTGCAGCTGCTGCTGCTCGAGGTGGTGGTGCAGCAGGGAGGGGGCTGGTAGGAGGCACGGCAGGGCAGCCCGTCGTGAGAGTCAAACCTTTGCTGCTGCCAAACCTGGGGGCGAAAGACGGCGGGAGGGACGGGAGGGCCTTGCGAAACACAGGGACGTGTGGGAGGATCGGGGAGAGAGGGCGGGAGGAGGGGCACGCGGGGGTAGAGGTGGGAGAGGAGGGTGGGGAGGAGGATGGATGGGGCAGAGGGGCAGCAGGAGGGGGCGTGGGGTACCTGACGGGCCCCCTGTCGGCCCGGGGGGCAGGCGGGCGTGACAGTGTGGCGTACAGCCATGGCCGAACTCACCAGCTGGCCCACACCCAGCAAGGCGGCTGGCAGGCGCTGGTTACACCCAGGCGGGATGGCAGGGGCGCAGCGGCAGGGAGGGGCAGAGGCGCGGCGTGGAGGGACCAGGATGGGTGGTGGGGCCGGCAGGAGGATGCTGCCAGTGGCAGTGGTGGCAGCAGTTGCGGCAGTGGTAGTGATGCTAGTTCCAGTGCCTTTTCCCTCCGCCATTCCACTTCCAGAGGCGCCCACATAGCACAAGATGCACTCCCAACCTCACACCTCCCCTCCCTGCGCCTCAGCCCCCCACCCCCACAACGACACTTCCCCTCTTCCCCCCGACCAGCCCCCACCGCCCCTCACCTCCTCCCCTCTTCCCCCCGGCCGCCACCCTCCTCCACTCGACCAATACCTGTTTCCCCCAGGGCCTTCAACCCCTCGGGCTCCGCGCTCCCCCTCAGAGCGCCGGTCTCCCCGCCTCTCTCGCTGCGCGCGTCCGGGTCACCCCTCTCCAGCCGCCCCTCCGGCTCGCCTCTCTCGCACGGGCTGCCCGGGTCGCCTCTCTCCCAGATCGCGACTGGCTCGCCTCTGTCGTACGGCGCATCGGGGTCGCCACTCTCGCAGCTGGGCAGCGACCTGGAGGGCGAGGTGGAGCGCGGGTGGCGCCGCACCGGGGGGCCGTCGTCCCCGCCGCTCGAGGTGTCTCTGCGCAAGTTCAGGCGGGAGCTCAGCGGCTGGGGCAGTGGGGGGACGAGTGGGGCGCAGGGGGAGGAGGGGGAAAAGGGTGGATTGGTAAGGGTTCGAGTCGATGGGGCTGGTGGGAAGGATGGCGGCATGGTGGGCGGGGTGGGTGGGGGAGATGATGTGACGTTTGAGTTCCAGCATTCGAGTGAGCACAAGTCAAGGGAGGACTTTCTGGGTGTTGAGAGGCAAGGGCATAAGGTGGGAGCGGAGGTGCGTATGGTGGAGGGGTATCGGGCCCACAACCAGCATGACTGCGATCACCACTATCGGCAGCAGCAGCAGCAGCAGCAGCAGGCGGGGTATCCTGGCGGGTTGGACGCAGAGAGTGTGGAGCAGGCAGTGCGGTCAGAGATCCTCATCATTGACAACTCGTCCGCCAGTGAGAGCGAGGAGGAAGGCGACCACCACCACCCCGCTCTCACTTCCCACCCCATTCCGATCCATGCTCCTGCTCCCGCTCCTGCCACCACGCCCACAGTGCATGTCCCCCCGTCAACCCCTGCCCTCTTGCTGGCTGCTGCGGGAGCAGCTCTGTCGGCTTCCACAGGCCTCGCTGCTGCACCGCCATCAGCCACGCCCTTTCCTGCTCTCACCATGCCCATGCACGCCATGCCTGCACTCCCTGCCACTGCTCTCCTGCCGCGAATTCCCACGCCTGTTTCCCCCCGCCCCCACCCTCTCTCTGCCGCTGCTTCTCCGTCCAGCAACCCCCCAGTTGCGCCCATGGCTGTGCGTCACTGGGGCGGTCCTCATGACTGCCAGCCTGCGCACATGCACATGCACGCTGCTCCTGACGCCCACAGTATGGGCGCCGCTGTGAGCGAGCATGCAGCACGGGCAGCAGCAGGTGCCACTGTAGCAGCAGCAGCTGTGCGTGCACAAGGGGGCAAGCAGGTGCCGCCTCCCACCACTGCTGCTACTGGTGTTACGAGCAGTGGGGGGAATGCGAGGGCAGGCAGCATGGGGGATTGGCTTGAGGGCCAGAATATGCACCTGTCTGCTCTGGTTGAAAGCCACGCCACGGGAATGCAACAGCAGCAGCAGCAGCAGCAGCAGCAGGAGGGAGTGGGGCTGGAGTTTGGCTCGCCAGACCGTGACCAGCAGCAGGGGGGGCAGCAAACAAGCACGGACCCACCTCTGTCGCCGCTCACCCCCCCCCTCTCTCCCCTCCTCCAGCACCGCATGCTGCTCTTCTGTGGCACTGCCTGCGTGCCCCTCCCCTTTGCCTCTGCTGGCTTGGGCCTCGACACACCCAAGCGCCTCTCAGCCAAAGATCGGCAGGCTTCTGCTCCTGTTGGCGCTGCTGCTGCAGTGCTGGCGGGAGGAAGGGGTGGAGGCGTAGGCTCAGGCGATGCAGGAGGAGGAGGGTGCGGAGGAGGGGGAGAGAAGGGAAAGGGTGGAGGAGTAGGAGGAGGAGGAGGAGGTCGAATGGCACAGAGCAGCTTGCAAAGGGAGGGAAGTGAGGGTGAGGTAGATGGTGGGGTGGGAGGGCATGTGAACGAGGAGGGGAAGTCAGGGCAAGGGAGGAGGAGGGACAGGCCTGCTGGAGGTACAGAGGAAACAGCAGAGACGAGCAAGCCAGCAGTGGGACTGACTGGGGGTGGGGGAAGGGGTGTTGCCAGGAGTGCTACAGGGAGTGCTGAAGGGCACAGGGAGGGCCTAGTGAATGGAGGGTGGGGGTCTCCTGGGGAAGGGCAGGGTAGTGCAGAAGCAGCAGGGCGGGGTGTGGTGGAGAGGAGGGAGTTGAACGAGCAGCGGCGGGCGGGCAGGAGGAAGGGGTCGTGGAGCAGTGCGGTATTTGAGGGGCTCATGCTCCGCCGCCAGCGCTCCCGGCTCAAGGTGCGCAGGGGGGAGAGAGGAGGGAGGGCGGGATGCAAGGAGAGGAATGGGGGGACAGAGAGCGATAGACGGAGAGAGGAAGGGGGGGGGGGAGGGGAGTAGATGAACATAGATCATAGTAGAGTCTAACCATTTCACCCTCTTCAATTCACCGTATCCTCTCTGCCCGCTCGCCCTGCTACGGTAACAATTTTGAGACTACCTCATTCCGTCTTTCTCCCATTCGCTCATGTGACATGTCCTCCCCCATTCCCCCCTTCTCCCCCTCCAACGCCCGCGCCCTTTCCTGCCTAGCACTCACAACCACACTCTCACTCTTTCTTTTACAATCCTTTTCTGTCTGTCCCAATCCCTATGGCTCTCCTCAGAATGATGCGTAGTGGAGCACACAAACTATCCCACACGCACACACCCACACACATACCCTGTTGGATTGGATGATTTCCTTGGGTATGCCACAGTAGACAGCAGCAGGGCTCTTGCTAGGATTTGGGGACGTCTGACATTCAGGCCGGATTTTTGTGCGCTGTCTGACCATCAGACGGGAGAATTGGTGGAGTCTGACGCTTCAGAAGAAATAAGGCCAGTCTGCACCTTCGGATGAAAGTTTTTGCGCTGTCTGTATTTCCATCTGAAATGGTGTGATCGGTCTAGATAAAGCCCAGGTCCCAAATTAGTTCGTGAAAGTCAATGCCCTCTGTGTCAAACATGTGTATATCCTATGTTTGCATAGACTGTATAGGGCCACCTCTTAGAGGGTACAACACTTAGGTATATTCACCTGTACTCGCTCTCTACTCTATCATTCAGCGCTCACTTTGATATGGTATCACGCGTAGGTTAGGATCCCCCACCTATCGCTTCCGCCCGTACCCTAGCTAGGCCCCGTCGCGCCCCTCCTAGCCCAGTCGCGCCCCCCTCCTGGGCCCTGCCGCGCCTCCTAGCTCAGTCGCGCCCCCCCCCCTGGGCCCTACCGCGCCTCCTAGCCCCGTCGCGCCCCTTCTGGGCCCCGTCGCGCCTCCTAGCCCAGTCGCGCCCCCCCCTGGGCCTTGCCGCGCCTCCTAGCCCCGTCGCGCACCTCCTGGGCCCCGTCACGCCTATCAAAATTAGAGTCAGAAGGGCCGGTCGGCGAGGACTGAACAGGAGGGCCACCAGAGTCAGAAGACTCCTCAACTGGGTCCACCGACGGAAGGGGGGTGACGTGGGACACACCAGAGGGGGCGGGACGGGGAGGAGGAGGAGGAGGGGCAGGGACTACCGGGGAAGGAGTGACCAGGAACAGGGGGGGAGTAACCGGGGGACCACGGTGGGGGAAGCGACGGTAGTAGGAGACGGACTCGTCAAAGGTGACGTCACGAGAGTGAAAGAAGCGGTGAGACGGCGGGTGGTAAAAGTGCCAGTCGGATGCGTCAAGGGGAAAACCGAGGAAGACGCAGGGAAGGGTGTGGGCAGTGAGCTTGTCCGTGCCGGAGGCACGGACGTGAGCAAGGCAGCCCCAGACGTGGAACGCAGACGCGTCACCAGGAGACCCAGTCCAAAGACGGGTCGGCGAAACCTGCGGCTGCTGAGGGTGCGGCCACAAGTTAAGCTGGTGAGAAGCGTAGCGCACAGCGAACGGCCACAGAAAATGGGGTGCACCGACATGGATCATGGAGGTGCGAGCCACCTCCATGACCAAACCGATGCGTCGCTCAGCGACCCCATTGTGCTGTGGGGAGTCCGGTAGGGTGAACGTCTGGGTGATGCCCTCCGCACGACAAAAGCGACCAAGGACACCTGAGGCAAACTCGCCACCACGGTCTGAGTGAAGACGCAAGACAGGGAGACCGCGGTGGACACGCGCAGAGACAAGCCAGGGGATGAGAGCGCCAGACACGTCGGCCTTGCGCTCCAGGGGAAAGACTGTGGTGTAACGAGTGAAGTCGTCGACAAGCACAAGGAAGTAGCGCTCTCGACGCGGCCCAGGGACGGGGGCGGGGCCCCAGACGTCCAGGTGCAGGGTCTGCAGCAGCGCGGCGGTAGGGGGAAACGAGGAGGAGTGAGGGGCATGGCGAAGCCGACCCTCGACACAAGGCGTGCAAGGTGGGGCTGGGGAGGAGGGAAACGCGGGGAGGGAACCTGGGAGACCAAGGACAAGACCGTGCTGGGACATGTGACGCAGACGCGGGAGTGCAGGGTGACCTAGGCGGTGGTGCCAAAGGAGGGTCGGGTGAGTGAGGGACCGACAGGAGCAGGCAGCAGCAACCTGGGTGAGCGCTCCAGCCGGGGGGGTCACGGTGTCCAGAGTGAACAGGCCGGACACCGGGTCCCGGGGGAACGTGGACAGGGGGGCACCAGTGGCGGCCTCGGTACAGACAGCATACCGCTCGTGACCAGGGAACGTAGTGGTGACGCCAAGGTCCTGGAGGCAGCCGACACCAACTAGGTTCCTGGAGAACGAGGGGATATGCAGACCTGTGAGAGTGCCCGAAGGAACTGCCGGACAGGGAAGGGTGGTGGAACTGCGGGCGACTACCGGACCGCCGGAGGGGTGAGCAAGAGAGACGGCAGCTGGAACAGGAAGCGGCGTCAGGGCGGTGGAGTCGCGGAAGAAACACCGAGAAGCGCCAGAGTCCAAGGTGAAGGAAAGCGAAGCAGAGGCGTCTGGCGACGGAACGACGGCGGAAGCACCAAGACTACACAAAGCAGGGGATCCTACGCCTGACGCAGCAGGGGAGGCTAAGCTAGGCACACCTATACTAGGCAACAGTGAGTAATAAGGGGGAAGCACACTAGAGTCATCAGCATACATCACATGCAGAGCAGAAACAATGGCATCCATGTCCATATAAAAAATCTGAATCTTACGACTAAGCAAACTGTGCCAGTCCGGGATGTCTGGCGACGGGCCGAAGTGCTGACGAAAGAGGTCGTCCAGGCGACGAAAACAGCGGGGAGTGGAGTGACCGATCTTACCGCAAACGAAGCCGCGGCGAGGACCGGTCTGGATCTGGTACTGACAACGCCCGCCGCCAGAGCCACCACTCGGCACACCACCACGCGCCCGGCCACCGCCAGCGCCGGGTCACCCGGGCGGGAGGACACTCGTCTGCCGCGTCTGCGACGGCTGCTGCGGCTGCTGCGAAGGCTGCGACTGCGGCGGCTGCTGCAACTGCAGGGGCGGCAGCTCAGCTGGACTGGGCAGGGTCCCCTCGTCCGCTCCAGCACCAGACGACCCGACCCCACCACTACCCCCTCCCGCACCCCCGCCTCCGCCGCGCCCAACCTTGGGGCGGCGGCCCTTCACCGAACGAAACTGCGCTGCAGCAGCAGTCTCAGCCACGGCGGCAGAGCCGTCGGAGAAGGTACACTGGGCGGGGGCACAACCCTGAAAGATAGGGACCGGCACGACACCGTTCGCTTGGGCGATGGAGCGGTGACGGGTCTCTATCACAGTCAGGGTGTCTACAAAGTCAGTGAGGGTGAGCTCTGCGGGGTGAATGCTAAGGAAGCGGTCGCGGGCGACAGCAAGGCGGTCAGGGAGGCGGGTGGCAAGCAGGTAGAGGGTAGAGGTAATGGGCGGCTGGTGGGCTCTAAGCTGTGCATCAGTGCAGGCTGCGCGCCAGGTCTCATCTATCGAGCGCAGGTGGGCAGCGAGGTCAGAGACAGTAGGGAAAGATGCAAGGTCAGGAAAGAGCATCGGGAGGATCAGGCGACCCACCGAGGCAGCCGGAGGGGTGGAATAGCGCTGGATGACAGCATCTAAGTATGCCTGAGCAGTGGTGAGGGACCTAAAGCGAGGGCGCTCGGACGGGGGAAGGGCGTTGCTAATGGCAAGCTAGGCGATAGCATCGCGAGAAAGCCAGACAGAGCGCGCACGGACAGTGGCAGCAGTGGACTCGCGCTCAGTGGGTGTGGAGTCAGCGGGCAGAATAGCAGGGGGGTCTGGGCAGGGGAGCGTACCGTCAAGGTGTACGGAAAGCGGTTCACCATCCTGCCGCTGGCCAGTGAGTTGGCGACGGAGGTCGGCAAGCCACGCCTCGAACTCCAGAGGTTGGCCTTCAGCGTCGAAGCGAAGCTCCGCCACCATCAGGAACAGTGCAGTGCGGTGCAGGGCAGTGCAGCAAGGTGGAGTGCGGTGCCGTGCGGTACAGTGCGGTGCAGTGCGGTGTAGGGCGGTGCAGTGCGGTGCCAGGCAGTACAGGGTGGTGCGGGGCGGTGCAATGCGGGGCAGTACGGTGCAGGGTAGTGCAGGGCGGGGGGGGGGGGGGGGGTGGGGGAGAACCGTACCAGTGAGGACCGGGGCCGGGGCAGGGACGAGCGCAGGGGCCGGGCCGGTGCAACGGGGCCGGGCGGGCGCGACGGGGCCGGGCTGGTGCGACGCGGCCCAGGAGGGGAGCTACGGGGCGCAGGAGGGGCACGACGGGGGCCCAGGAGGGGCGCTACAGAGGCCCAGGAGGGGCGCGACGGGGCCCAGGAGGGGCGCTACGGAGCCCAGGAGGGGCGCGACGAGGCCCAGGAGGGGCGCTACGGGGCCTAGGAGGGGCGCGACGGGGCCCAGGAGGGGCGCTACGGGGCCTAGGAGGGGCGCGACGGGGCCTGGGAGGGGCGCGACGGGGCCTAGGAGGGGCGCGACGGGGCCCAGGAGGGGCGCTACGGGGCCCAGGAGGGGCGTGACGCGGCCTGGGAGGGGCGCGACGGGGCCCAGGAGGGGCGCTGCAGGGCCCAGGAAGGGCGCGACGGGGCCTAGGAGGGGCGCTACGGGGCCCAGGAAGGGGCGCGACGGGGCTAGGGGGGTCGCGACGGGGCTAGGGGCACGACGGGGCTAGGAGGTAGGGGGGCGAGCGGAAGCGGTAGGTGGGGGGGGGATCCTAACTTACACGTGATACCATATCAAAATTAGAGAAGTGAATACTGATAGAGTGAGAGTACACACAGATATACCTAAGTGTTGTACCCTCTAAGAGGCGACCCTATACAGTCTATACAAACATGACAAATACACATGTTTGACAACGCCTCCCAGCCCCGTCGCGCCCCTTCTGGGCCCCGTCGCGCCTCCTAGCCCAGTCGCGCCCCTCCTGGGCCCTGCCGCGCCTCCTACCCCAGTCGCGCCCCCCCTGGGTCCTGCCGCGCCTCCTAGCCCAGTCGCGCCCCCCCCTGGGCCCTACCGCGCCTCCTAGCCCCGTCGCGCCCCTTCTGGGCCCCGTCGCGCCTCCTAGCCCAGTCGCGCCCCCCCCCCCCTGGGCCCTGCCTTGCTCCTAGCCCCGTCGCGCCCCTCCTGGGCCCCGTCGCGCTTCCTAGCTCAGTCGAGCCCCTCCTGGGCCTTGCCGCGCCCCTCCTGGGCCCCATCGCGCCTTCTGGCCCCGTCGCGTCCCTCCAGGGCCCCGTCACGCCTTTTAACCCCGTCGCGCCCTGCCTGGCCCCGTCGCGACCGCCTGGCACCGTCACGCCCTGCCTAGCCCCGTCGCGCACCTCCTGGGCCCCGTCGCGCCCTGCCTGGCCCCACCGCGCCTGCCTGGCGCCTGTCCCAGCCGGCCCCGCGCTCGCCCTCGTGACCTCCGCGCCCGTCTGCTCGGCTCCTGCACCCGTCCCAGCCGGCCCCGCGCCCGTCCCGTCGGCCTGGTGCCCACTGCTTCTGGCCCCTGCGCCCGTCCTGCCCCGAGCTGAGTGTGGCCCGCTCGTCGTCCCTGCCCCGGCCCTGCATCCTCCCTAGTACTGTTCCTCCTTACCTGCACCGCACTGCGCTGCACGGTACTGCTCTGCACCGCACTGCACTGCCCTGCACCGCACTGCACCGCGCTGCACCGCACTCCACCGCGCTGCACCGCACTG